TAAGCTTTACAAAGTCTGTCTTTGGCTTGATTGTTTTGGCACATATAGTTGAATGTTGAAACTGGCTCAAATTGTACAAACCAACCCCGAACTGAAAATTATGATTTGGTTTCAGTTTTGGATTGATACCACACATAACCTTTTCACTTTGACCCATAGTCCTATTCTTAGCCCAACCGAAAAAGAAACTGATATCAACACTCAATGAATGTAATTATTATAACAGCTGGATGACTGGACCATGCATGAAATCTAGAACTACATAGTTTTTTGGGAATGCATGAAATTTAGAGCTACATAGTTTTGTGGGAATGTTCTGCCTTTGAACTCTAACCTCTCTCACTCACACACATACAAGTAAGTTTAGGTAGATGTTCAAGGACTCAAGGTAGGCATGAAAGAGATACATTGCTAAGATACGTTATGTGGCACTTATACATTGTGTTGGTGATCGCATGACTTTTATTACCCATTAAAATGTAACTTAATAATGTCTCGTTTACATGTCTCCGAAGACGTTTGTGTGCCTATGACCTATGTGCACCTATTTGTTTATGTACTTGCATTTTGTATAGTTAGTGAAGAGCTTGGGTGTTTAGAAAGTATTTCTCACTGTACAGATGTTAACTATTTAGTACTTTAATAGCTGGCTCAAATTTCCTACTATTATCACACCTCTTCTCTATGCATAATCAGTATAAGAAATTTATAAGAACAGGAAAAGAAATTTAGAATAAGAATATTCAGTATTTATAAGAAAATAAATTCATAAGAAATTTATCCTTTCCGGTGTACTTAAAAATATACAGTATAAAAAGTTTGTATTTTTCTTGAATAGGAAAAGAAAGAGAAATTTGGGGAGCGCATCGCAGCTCTGCAGCAGATTGTATCTCCATTTGGAAAGGTGCCCCTCCCTTTGATTGGTTTATTACCTACTAATGTAAATTATTACCCTTGAGAGGAACAGACTTGTGAAACAAGATTACCCTATAAGTTGTAAATTGAGAGTAATTTACTTTTTTTTTACATTGACAGACAGACACAGCCTCTGTTCTACTAGAAGCAATGGGGTACATAAAGTTCCTCCATGAGCAGGTTAAGGTTCGTGGCTGTTCTTTATCTCGCTTTACTTTTAACCCTCTATTTAAGTGAAATTCACCATTAATCCTCTCTCCTAATCCCTCACCTATCAGCTTCCCTCTCTTTACCTCATTACTTGGTAAGATATATCGTCGCCTTATCCCCAACCAAAGTATCTACTAGTAGTTGCAGTTCACCTAACCTTGCAATGCCATAAGCATGATTTTGGTCTTGTTTTTTTCCTGATGGTTTTAGGTGCTAAGTGCTCCATATCTCCATTCTACGCCACAAACAACTACACAGGTTAGTAGTAGAAGAATATATATTAGCCATATGCTTGACTGATACAAAAAGGTGATTAACACTATTATTTGTGATTTCGTGTGCATGATCTGTTACGGTATACGGCTAATAGTCCAGTCTAGGGCCTAAGTAGTACAGAAACAAGAGAAGCGATAAACACAAGACACCGTTACACGGTATTTGAAAAATATAAGATGCGAAGTGTGGTGGAAAAACATAAGAATGTATTTGTAAATATGTTTCAAAAATATGTACTGCGGATTACATATTGTTTACATATACTCCGTATATGACATATATATGTATACTTATTGTTTCATTTAACATTGCTAAATAATTAATGGTAAAAAAAGTCCACATGATCAAAATATAGAAATTATTACGTATTAGTACATAATTACATGTAAAATGCAATAAACTTCTTGCAACGCATTGCTTTATGAAATATCACAAAAGCAATGTGATGAAATCACATGAAAACCCACAAAACCCATAAATAGACACTAACTTCCATAAAAACCCATTAAAATAAAAAACTGATATCCCAAAGTTTTTCTATTGTGGAAATGGGAATTTGAAGATTCTGAATTTTCAATACGTTTTCTATGATTCTGAAAGGTGAGTCGTGGGAAGTTTCCATACTACTTAGTCGAAGTGTCCTGTTTGCATACTAGTAACCTACTGAATATGTGATATTTTTGCATGTTTGTTCTCAAAGGAACCCCACTCCTACAGTTTGAGAGGTAAGGGTTTATGCCTGGTGCCTCTGTCATGCACCGATGGGGTTGCCGGTAGCAATGGTGCAGATATATGGGCTCCTGCTAGAAAATGTTGAAACATACATTGCTTTGCTAGACTGTGCAAGATTCAAGGTAGGTAGCCAAATAAAACGCCCGGTGAATGCAAAGCAATAGGATGTAAAACATTATCGCCTTATGTTGGTTATGGGTTGAGGAGTTTGGATGTCTAACAGCAAAACCTGGAGGCTGATACTCTTTTGGGAAGCATTCAGCTATAGTTAGAGCCTAATTATCCAGGTTTATTGCCAAATGTATATGCTTGAACAATGAGTTGTATGATAAATATAATATTTATAATTATAATGATAATTAATAATGTTCTTAGACTCTGGCTCGCGGTATTATTGGAACCCGTCATTGGGTTATGCAGCTTTTTGAGTATGTCAAAAGCATTCCTTCAATTTTGGTTAAAGATATATACGATTGACATGCATGAATTTTTTTGTAAAGTTTAAGCAGGGAAATTTCCTCTAAAAATAGCTTCAAGGTATGCTAAAAAACTGGGAGATTCCATTCCATTATTTTAGTCATTGTTCTAAAGCCCTGGGGTGGTTTATTCTGCCTCGGGATTATTTTTTTAAGCAAATGAAAGGGTCGCTTTGGAGAAATCCAAAAATAGGCTGCCCTGGTCGAAATTCCACATCTAAGAGTTTATTCGATAATACAGATATTGGTTGAATTGTTTGAATTGGTTGAAGCAGCTGAATTGATTGAATTGTTAAATATGTACAAATTATACTCCCTCCGTTCTTCAATAACAGCTCTCTTAGGTTTATTGTGGGTTTTAAGAAGAAAATCGTGGGGTTTTAAGAAGAAAATCGTGGGGTTTTAACAGTCCTCTTAGGTTTTACAAGAATATTACAAAATAAAACTTATTTATATAAATATGATTATTCATTACTACAACATAGTGTTATGGTAACTTAAATTCAAAATTTGAACACGAATTACTATGATTTCTTTACTACTCTAGTAATGATTTCATTAATAAAGTAGGAAATAAAAAGTAGTATGTAAAAAGTAAAAAGAGGATAAGAGTAATAAAAGTGAAGGTATAAAGGTAGAAAAATTCTATTTGTACACACAATTTGTACACATTTGACATGCTTTCTTGTGTATATAAACATTTCATTTATAAAAAAACAACAATTGCCTATGTACACAGTTGATTGTAAAATATACACAAAATGTATACACCCATAGTTACCTGTATAGGCAAGCAACTCGTTCAAAAAAGGTATCAAGAATGGTTGATAAATGTATTTGATTGAAAAAACTTACTAAAAAGGAAAGATGGACAAATATTTATAAACATCCCAAAAAAGAATACAAGACGAATATTATAGAACGAAGGGAGTATTTAAAATATGTTCTATTAATAAATTAAAAGAACCTTTTACTTCCATATATGAAGACAACTAAAAGAACCTTTTACTGTAACTTCAGTTAAATCAAACAAAAAATGACTTTAATCTTTACTCTTCGATTATTAGACAATTCTAAACTCAATAATTAGTTGTTTAAAAAGTTATTTGGTAAGTTGAACATTTGGGTTACCAATTAACACCAAATTTTCAATTGTTTTGTTAATGCCCACTGTGGCCCTTCCAAATGCAATTAGATATTTGAGAATCGACGTCAGGACCAAACTGATATTTCAATCAATGGCCGAGCCTAGTTAGAAGAAGTATGCAGTTAGCCTCTTGATTATCGATTATCGTGGAGACTGATTGGACGGTTTGTTTTTGTCAATAATCATTTCTTTACTAACATAATAGATCGACTCTTGGACAGTTCCATCTAATTTCGGAATGGGTGTGCTGGCCTCTTGATATGCTAAATGTAGAGAAAACTTCATGTCAGGCCGGCCTGACGGGCTGCCCCGTCCGGCCGAGCCCGTTTCGGCACCTTCCCGGTGGAATTTTTTGATGAAATTTTTTGAGCATGTTCCTCATCAAGTCTAGTTTGTCCATACCAAATTTCAGCTCAAAATTCGATCGGGAAGGTCGTCAAATGATTTTTGCACGTTAACTGGTCCGGAATATGTATTTTCCGGACCAGTTAACGTGCAAAAATCATTTGACAACCTTCCCGATCGAATTTTGAGCTGAAATTTGGTATGGACAAACTAGACTTGATGAGGAACATGCTCAAAAAATTTCATCAAAAAATTCCACCGGGAAGGTGCCCAAACGGGCTCGGCCGGACGGGGCAGCCCGTCAGGCCGGCCTGATGAGAACAGCCCTCGCTAAATGTATACAGTCTTGCCTTGATCAGGATCTATTGGTTTTTGTTATTCCAAACACCAGTCTATTGAATGGCCTTGATCATCTCAAGATGTTGAGATTCACAGTTTATACATATATTTTGATCGATAATTATAAAGAGTAAAGGTGTGAGGCTAGATGTGATAGCATCTGCTTTGTTGCAAGTATATTTATCACCCCAATTTAAATGGTTGGACTGACTTTTTAGACATGCCTTTCTCAATAGTTCTCCATAATTGGTCAGAGGGTTTAAAGGGATTTGTTAAACATAGGTGAACACATCACATCCATTCTCTCCACTACGAGTGCTTCTATCTTAGAGGCGTTCGGTAGAATGTCAAATAATTATTTTGCATGTGAAGTGTAAGGACGTAAAATGTTTTTACTGTTTGGTTTGATTATTTAATATAAACTGTAGGACACTTTTTTAAAACATTTCTCACTGTACCATGTAAAGTATTTTACGTGGGGGGAGGGTGGTAAAATACTTTACATGCCTTTTATGAAGCACTGCAATGACTTTGCGTGTGATAGAGAAATATTTTGTGCTCCTCAATGATAATGAGGAGAGAATAATCCATTATATAAAGAGATAGATTACATGTTTACAAGGTGATAAATATAAAGAGTAATTACATGTGGAAATTCTAGGAGACACTTGAGTGAATTACAACATTAATTAACATTATTACCCCCTTCAAGCGATGCGTGGGGTTGAAGCGAACGCAGAGCTTGGATTGAAGAAACTCAAATGCCGTTCGAGGAAGACTTTTGGTAAAGATGTCTGCTAGTTGAAGATGAGAGGGAACAAACTGTGTAGAAAGACGGCCTGCAGAAATCAACTCGCGGACAAAGTGAAAGTCAATATCAATGTGTTTGGCACGCTTATGTGAAATGGGATTTTGAGATAGAAAAATCGCACTTTTGTTATCACAAAAAATGACAGGTGGGGTGGGATTTGGAATGCAAAGTTCGCGGAGTAAATGAACCAACCACATGACTTCGGAGGCAGTATTTTGCTAAAGCCCGATATACAGATTCAGGGGTGGAGACAGGGAGGGGCTGGAGGTGGCAATGGCCCCTGCAAGAATTTTTTTTAAGTATATATTATATATAAATACTTTTAATTTGTAAAAAGTATGTTGATATTTTAAACTTTGGCCTCTGCAATGTAAAATTTTTAAAGACCGTCCCCTTTAACCCTAAATGTCTGGCTCCGCCACTGTTCAGATTCACAACTAGATCTAGAAACAGTTGGTTATTTCTTAGCACTCTAGGAGACAAGATTCCCACCAAGAAAGACTGAATAACCAAAGGTGGAACGTCGTGTCTCAACACATCGCGCCCTGTCAGCATCGGAGTATGCAGTAATGGATTGAGAGGAACGACGATCAAAAGATAGTCCATGATGAATGGTGCCTTTGACATACCGAAGTATTCTCTTGACGGCAAGAAAATGGTCCTCCGTAGGTGAGTGTAAGAATTGACTAACAGAGTTTACAGCGAAAGATAAGTCTGGGCGAGTGATAGTGAGATATTGAAGCTCGCCCACAATAAATCGATAAAGTGTGGGATCAGAAAATGGTTGGCCAGCACTGATGAGGGAGATACCTGGTATTAAGGGAGTGAAGACATGTTTAGCAACTAGCAAATCCACACGTTCCAGAATATCATGAGCATATTTGGACTGACCAACAAATAAACCTGTGGGAATGTGAGAAACTTCCAGCCCCAAGAAATAATTGAGTTTGCCAAGGTCTTTAATGGAGAATTCCTTGTGAGTGTGAGAAATGAACCTTTGAAGTAGCTCAGGATTATTGCCCGTGACAATGATGTCATCAACATAGAGTAATAGGTAGATAACCGATGAAGCCTTGTGTAGAAAAATAGAGAAGAATCCGAACGACTTTGCTGGAAGCCAAGGCGGAAGAGAAAATCACTAAAGCGGCGAAATCAAGCCAATGGGGCTTGCCGGAGCCCGTATAGTGCCTTTTTTAAGCGGCATACATGGTTGGGAAATTGAGGATTAACAAACCCGGGGGGTTGGGCCATATAAAGTGGTTGATGAAGAACTCCATTGAGAAAAACGTTATTTACATCCAGTTGATGAAGGTCCCATTTGGAATGCACTGAGAGAGCTAAAATAACCCGGACAGTGGCTGCTTTGACGACTGGGCTGAAAGTGTGAGAGAAATCAAGGCCCAGGCACCTGTGTAAAACCTTGAGCAACTAAGCGTGCCTTATAGCGATCAATGGACCCGTCAGAATGATACTTAGTACGAAAGACCCATTTGGAGCCAACTATATTTGCATTAGGTGGACAAGGAACAAGATTCCAAGTGTTATTTTTATGAATGGCATCAAGTTCTTGTCGCATGGCGACCACCCAATGAGAGGATTTCAATGTTTACAAGGTGTGATAAATACAAAGAGTATTTACATGTGGGAATTCTAGGAGACACTTGAGTGAATTACAATATTAATTAAGTAACATTATTAGCGTGCAATTTAAAAATAAATTACACATCTAACCAAACAATGTAATGTATTTTACATGCAAAATAATTGCTTCCCTATACTTTGTATGCAATCACTTCACGTGTAAAGATTTAACGTGTAAATTACCAAACGAGACACTTTAAGAGATCTTAAAGTGTCTCCTCTTGTCTCTCCTCTTGTTTATTTGAGCAATACCTGAAAAGTGTGAGGTCAATGTTGTGTCAACAAGCTTGAAACTATCCATTGCGCCGAATGGTAGCTCCGACACCGTAAACATTCCTTAATGTATATTTGGGTTGCTTTGTGTTATTCAACTTTGAAATGATGGCATCATCAATTTTTCTTCTTGAACATGACATGGCTGTTCATGAAGTGAAGGCACAAGTCGGCTAGGGGTCATTTACTTATGACTTAATGGACTTAATGAAAAAGACGACTTAATCCTTCGATCCTTAAGTCATGTTTACTTACGACTTAATTGAAAACACGACTTATTCATTCAATCAAAAAAACTCACTTAATCATTAAGTTGTGGACAAGCATTCCTTCCCATTAAGACGCACATGATGACGTCTATTCAGTCAGTTTTTTAATACCTAATATGAAATAGATATATGTTAATAAATGACATTATTCATTGTCAATATAACTTAATAATAGTATTAAATTGATTAATTTACTCTATTCAAATGGTTTATTCAACACACAAAATAAACAGTTTCATATACAAACATCATTTAATCCAGACAAACGTCTTAATACAGACAAACGTCTTTATCTAGAGAGGATTTAATAGAAAAAAAAAGTAAACAACCCCTAAATGGAACACACAAACAAAGCGGAAAACTAACTTAAGGGTAACCAAACACAAACTCTTCGTACCATTTCCCACAGAGGTGCCGGTATTGAGGCAAGTGCATTAAAAGTATGGGTCTAAGAACAGGGTTCTTGGCATGGATCAATCAATTTCTTAAAATAAGTTCAACTCTAGATTTGATTTTGCTAGCTAAACAATTTATTATGAAAAAACAGAGAAGAAATTATTTGTTTGAAGAAAATAATAGTTCTAACCAGATTTTATTATTTAGTTTAATTTATAAAGTAAATACAATGCACCTTAAGTTAACAAACCACTTCATTTATATCAGCTACAAGTTCAAATTCAAAAGGTTTCTATAGTATTAGAAAAGAGGGAAAAGCAGGAAAGCCTGTTAATTGTCTTGTTGCAGCAGTATGTATATGACAAACTGCTAATGCCTAATATTGAGAATTTTAACAGATTAAAAGCTCATTTGGAGATGCTGTTTTTCGACTTATCAACCTTATCAGTCAAACCTTTTTACCAAACATATAACTTTTGATTTGACTCGCTAAATTGTGTAATAATCAAAATAAGTAAGGTTGAAGTTACTTTTCTTGCTACACTGGTTGGAGTTACTATATTAGCCATGTTTTCGTATACATTTTGCATTATGTTAATAATAAAATATATTTTATTTTTTATATTTTTTAATAAATTAGCATAATCAGGCAAACAAAGAAAAATGGACTAGCTCACTATTTGCCGATTCAGCCGAATCAGCCGATTCAACTAATTTCAGTGTTACCAAATCGGCTCTTAGTGGCTTTCAAAATAATCAAATCATAAATCCAAGGCTTAATTGGCAAACAAAGAAAAATGGACTAGCTCACTATTTGCTTAGGATGTCAACAAATCTTGTCGCAATAAGCATTGCGTTTAATCACATCGAATAACTTGACCCATAGATGCTTTTCACTACAGATGAAGAACAGGCTCGAACATTCATCATTTACTTCCTTGTTTTGATGTGAAAAACTCCCCAAAAAAAGTAACTGTTCTTTATGGTTTGACATTTCACATTTAACCATCTCGAGGGAAAAACCAGAAGCTCAACATGACCCATCTTACTCCTGAGCATCAAATCCTTGCTGTCAATGAACTTTAGCAGTGAAGTGTAACCGCGCAAGGCCTGTTCATTCTTTGGATAAAAGTACAAAGCAATATCATTTGTATCAGGACAATCCTCAAATATCACTGGCCAGTATTTACTTCGAGGGTGCACTAGAAATTCCAAAGTAGATGTCATCTTTTTTGAGAACTCGTAAGCTTTACGACAAACTTTAGAAGATGGATGAGCAGTGAATCCTTCAAAGATTTTGACAACTGAAGCAATATCAATCACCTCAAAGCTTCCCTTCCATACGCTTTTTTTTGCAGGGCAACTTTGATGGCACACAGAAATACTATGTAACACGTTGAGATGATTGTCATACATCTCACCACACACTGAAAGTTTAGGCAAGACAGACGTGGAATAGCTGGAAGTAGGGGGGTTTGGATATTTAGTGCATGGTGAAAGAGAGAAAGCAGAATCACCTACCGGGTTTTGTAGCCTATTACCGCCAAAATCTTTAGAACAACAAGCAACTTCCATTTCTGAAACTTTTATAGATGACTGATCCATGGGAACTTCAGCCCTTCCAACAACATTATCTCCAGCGTGTTCCTTATTATTTTTATAAACCTCCGATTCTAAATATGGTTTATTAGGCGGAAGTGTAGTGCTATCAGTATCACCAAGCAACAACGTACTTTCAACCCCCAACTCCAAAACAGGTTCATTGTGAGGTAATTTAGTGCCATCAGCAGAATCACCAACCTGGTTCTGTAGCCTACTAGCATTAAAATCTTTAGTACAAGTAAGAACATCAATATCTGGAACTTGATTAGTTGAATCTAATTCAGCACTCTCAGTTCTGTCTAGACGATTTTTGCCAAATTCATCCTTTACTTGTTCCTTCCCTCTGTGCACCATTTCCACTTCAGCAGATGTTCTACTAGAAGGCAACTCAGCAGCATCAACTATGTTGATGGCCCTCTCGGCAGAAGTGTCAATTTCATTGAGCTTCCATGAGGGCCAACAAGAAGTAGATACTTTTAGAAGATCATCTTTTGATCCTTCATTGCTATCTATCCGGGTTTTGGATTCCGAAGAACCAAGAGACAGTCTCTCACCATCATTTTTGTCAAAGGCTACTTCCTCGAGTCTGTTGTTTCCTTTTTCCAGGTTGTTTGTTTCTTCCCTGCAGGAGATCAATGAAGGGAAACTATCTAAGCCCACATTTACCCCTTTGTTATGCACATCTCTAGAATCTTCCACAAGTTTTAATCCTTGCCCCTCCAAATTCCTAGAAGGCAGATCAAATGAATCGTCTGCTTCTTTTCTACAGCTATTTGTGACTTCCTGCCTATCGTTTATATTTTCTACATCAGAATTTTGACAAGGCAAATCAGAGCGAGATTCATCTGTGGCAATTGAATTGTTTCCTTGCAATAGTACATCTTTAGCTTTGTCATAACTATTACCTCTCTCTTGCAGGGATTCCAGATGACAAGGTTTGGTTTCAACTATTTCTGCAGACTCGGAGATAGAATTCTCATCATCACTTCTCTTTTTCCAAGAAGCACCTCTGATGGGAGATCCAGAATGTTGAGTTGTGTTTGGCATCAACTTTTCTGGCTTCATATCTGCTGCATCTTCATTGCTCCCATCCCATATGCTGGATTTGTTAGGGCTATCTATGCAATAGCCCTTATATGATCCTTTGTGTGATGTATCCTCCCACTTAGGCCATTTAGAAAGCTGTCCTGCAATATCTGCTGAGTTTTGTGACCTCTTGTGAGGTCTATCTTTTTTCGAGCAACCCTCCGTCATAAAGCCCTTCTTTTTTAGGCTGTTAATAACTTTAGACGTGCTTTCTTCAAGAGTGCTTTTTAAACCTTCAGCATTATTTCTTATGTGAAACTCAGATCCCCAAACATGCCTACGTGAAGAAGCTTTCAAATGACCAGAAGAGTTTGAACTTTTCCAAGAAATACCGTTGGATTCTCTGGCATTAGTGTTTGCCCATGATCTGGATCCTGGAGAAACCCATCTAGCATCCCTGTTACTAGAATTGCGACCTCTATGAAACGATGTTTGATCCTCTTCAAAATTACTTCGCTTTGTCGATCTTGATTTCCAAGGAGGCTTATGATAATGTGATCCAACATGATTTCCAGATCTGGAATCCCTTTTTGGGGAAACATCTTTAGAATGTTTTGCACCACCTCTCTTTTGCAGCCAGGAGTAGGAGTTCCAATGGTGGGAACCTGTTTTGTCAGGCACATCTTTTCCTTTATCACCTTTTGTATCGTTTTGCAACCAGGAATTCCATGATGGCCAACTGGAATGAGCATTCCAGCAGTCATCAGAAGCAGAACTTTTTCTCTCATGAGTGTTGTTGTTTCCTTCATCAGCAAAATTAGTTTCCTTTTGCAGACATGAGTTCCAAGCAGGCCAGCTTGAATGAGAACCTTTCTTCATGCCTGCATCTGTTTCCTTTTGCAGACATGAGTTCCAAGCAGGCCAGCTTGAATGAGAACCTTTCTTCATGCCTGCATCTGTTTCCTTTTGCATACATGAGTTCCAAGCAGGCCAGCTTGAATGAGAACCTTTCTTCATGCCTGCATCTGTTTCCTTTTGCAGACATGAATTCCCAGGGTCATCTGAAGCAGAATCTCTGTTCATAGCCATACCTTTGCACTCATCACTACCTCCTTTCTCTTTTTCCTTGGGCTTATGTTTTCCTTCATGAATATTATTACTTCTCTTTTGCAGTATGGCATCCCAGGAATGCCTACTGGAAGAAGAGTTCATACAGGCATCTGAACCAGAACTTCTTTTCTTTGGAGGTTCACTTTTTCCAGCAATACTTTCATTTGGCCTTTTCTGAGAAAGAACTTTTTCATTTTGGAACTTAGTTCGAAACTGCCAACTAGATTTACCAGACCTAAAACGAGAACCCATATTCCAATCATCAGGTGAATCTGGAGATCTGCCCCGAGACATAGAAATACTTGTTCAAAACCTTAGACAGTGAACTCCATTAATCAAACCCACACAAAACCTGCTTTCGACCTAAAAATTACAGAAGAATGAGGAAATATTCTCAGAAAAAGTGACATGGTCTACCTCGAAAAACTCATATGTAAAAAAGTGACATCGTCTACCTTTAATGAATGCTCGACCTCATAAATTTACAGGGTACTTGCTTACGCAAAACGCCATCAGTCAAAATAAGTAGATCTCTACTGCCATTAATAATTACGAGTATAAACAACTTTATATTGATTTTAATTCGCAACTCCTAACTTTCCATAGTTGTTGGGTGTCTTAATAGAGGGTTTTCAATTTTCAATACGACAATGGAGGACCAAACCTCCCATCTCAACAACCATTTCCAGCACGCCCAAAATCCACACAGATAAGGCGGCGGGAAAAAGAAGAACAGAACGAACCAGAAATGCCGGAAATAACAAACTTGAATACATATCCATAATAATGCTTTAGAGATATGTTATGAAGAAGATGAGTCCTGGAACTACGACAATACATGTACGTCTCAGTACGTAAAATCGAAGATGGATAGAGAAACAGTTCATTGTATTTTACCATTTCCACCAGACAAGGCGACCATCAGAGAAGATTTGATTCGAGTGAGTGGACTCTCGTCAACAGAGCTGCCCGTCTCGGTTTGGTCAGTACAGTTCTATGGGTTCCCTTTACTGATATACCCTTTTTCAGTTTTAACTTTTTCTACGGGGGAGGCATGTTTTTCATGTTGAGTTTTACAAAAAAAAATATTGCTGAGTTTTTTCATGTTGAGTTTTACAGAGTACTGTATATGCGAATCAATAAATTTCCTACCTACCACTCCCACACACCATCTTTGCTGAGTAAAGATGAGTTTTACCGAGTCCTATACCATGGGAGCAGGCAAAAATGTACTACCACTTTCCTTTTTAAATGTCCCAAAAAGAAGTTCACATATTCCTAAATGAAAAGTTATCATACATCAAAACAGTATCAAACAGTGCAAAACAGTGTCAAACAGTGTCAACCAGTATCCAAACAGTAAAATTTACCCCCTGGTAAGTTTATTTCCTTAAAATGTGTGTAGGTCAAACTGGGAACATCCCAACGGGACGGAGGATGTAACTTACGAGCCCGTTTGGTAACACGAAAATCATCTGATTCGACTGATTCTGTTGAAATTTATGAAGTTCTGGTTGAAGTGACAACATTGGTTGATTCTGTTGATTAAAGAAAAAATTATTTTGAAAATATATTTTATTGATAAAATAAAGAAAAAATTATATGTAAAAATATCTAAAATGGTCATCTACAGTAACTTCAGACAATACAGCCAGAAAAGTAACTCCAACCTTACTTTTTCTTATTATTACACAATTCAGCGCGCGAAAACAAAAGTTACGTGTTTGATGAAAAAGTTGGCTGATAAACCTGATAAGCCGAAAAACAGTGTTACCAAACGGCCTCTACGTGTATAAACATGTAACTCGCGCGGATAAGAAATGCAACTGCAAGCAAGTTGAAATGTAACTTGTTTAATACAAATATAAGAATTTAAAAGATTGATTTCAATGAAATCAAGGAGTCTAAATGCGTGCTCAATTACTTTACGCAAATAGTGAATATGTTTAGTTTTTAATATAAGCCCATAAATAATGTTTTTCCACTTAAAACTTTTTTTTTGCCATTTGTTTTGTTTTGTTTTTTGCAAAAAAAATGATTCTTTTGTTTCAATATCAGAGCTTTATGTTGTGTTGCAACTCGTGTTATAGAAAATGTAACTCGCGTTAATGCAAAATCTAACTTAGGTGTGCAAAATATATCTTGTTAAAGCAAGTATAAATGTAACTCACGTATAGAAAGATGTAACTCACGCATAAAGAAGATGTAACTCACGCATAAGAAGATGTCACTTCATATACTATCAAATGTAAACGATGAAAACAAAGAGTCTAATTGCTCAGATTAATTTACGTAAGAAATATGTTTTGTTTCTACTTTCTAGTATCAAGGCCATAAAATGTTTCAAGAGAAAAATAATTGTTTTTGCCAAAAAAAAACCATTTTTTGCCAAAAATCATTTTTTTTTTGACAGAAAAAATCATTTTTGTTTGCAAAAAATTGATTTTTTGTTTTGTTTCAATAGATGAAGTTTATTTTATGATGTAATTTGTGTTATGAAAAAATGTAACTCGCGTTGATGAAAAATCTAACTTAGGTATATGCAAAATGTAACTTGTTAAGACAAGTCCAAATGTAACTCGCGCATAAGAAGATGTAACTGATGCACAAGAAGATGTAATTCACCTATAAAAAAGATGAAACTCCATATACTATCAAATGTAACTCCAGAAATTGTTTATAAACATAACTCAGACATATGAAAAACGTAATCTCATGTTTTATCAAATTTAAATTGAAATAAACAAACTTAATGTATTAAAAACACTAAAAACATATAAAAAGAGATAAGAAATATTTTATAAAAAGTGTATGAATATAAAATATATATTATAAAAAGTATATAAATATAAAAAATATTAATTCTAGAGAAAAATAATTAATTTTTTATTGTAATTTTAGTTGAATAATAGAAAAAGAAAAAAAAAACGTAATAAGGACTAAGAGAGAAAGAAAAAGTAATTTAATTATTTTATTTCGAAAGGATGAAAACTTGATCAAAAAGTTGTATTCATACATCCCAGCGTTCTTAAATTAAAAAAAAACATTTGGAAACATTAAAAGTAAAAAACAAAAAAAACGTGGGTGGGGAGTATGTGCAACTGTGCAAGTGTGCAAGTGTGCAACTGGAGAGAGCGCGTGACCATTGAGCAAGTAAAAGTGTATGTTTTGTTTCTTATGAAAAAACGGTACCTTATTGGATATTGGTATATCGCGCACATTGTATACCCGATCTTACGGTATAATTTGTGGTCTCTTTGCTATACTAGCCATTCCAAACCAAATTTGTTGACTCTATATTATACTTCCTCCATCCCGGTTAAATATTGACGTTTACTTTTGGCATGATGTTTTAGGAGATCAGTCAATAAAAGAACAAATATCTTTCATACCCTTTGACTTTTGGGGATAACTAATGCTACCCAAGTAAATGTGATAAGTGGGTGAGAGTGCAGGGGTGATCTAGCATTTGCATTGAGGTGGGGCCAAATTTTAATTACGTAACTTATTTGTCAAAAAATGTTAAAATGACAAGATGTAGCTAAATAATTTTACAGAAATGTCAAAGAAAAATAAATAAATATTACAAAACCGAAAAGTTAATTATCTTAAAAGAGGCATAGATACTGAACCGGAATTGGCTCGGTTACTAAAATGTTTAGTACCAATTTTCAAGTTGATTTCTCGAAAATCAATTTTCTTTTGACTCCATAGTCTATGCTCTATGTAAAAAAGTAAACTAATTAAATTCCACCTACCAAGCAGAATGAATTGAACTTATTCATTTTTCAAATCAATATTTAAAAGTCCAATGATTTGAACTAATTAATTTTTCAGACTAATATTCGAAATTCTAATGAATCGAACTAATTAAATTTTCAAGCTAATATTCAAAATCCAAATGAATTGAACTCATTAATTTCCATGGCAATTTAAATCAATAAAAGAACTTTGTTGTGTGGTTTCTATCGTACGTCTTATTTGTAGCATGGTGTTGGGCAAGGAAGCGCTCAATGGATTGTGTAGAAAATCGCTAAAAGGAGCTTCTGAAGGAGAAGCATGGTTGGTTTCCACAACAGAATGTGGGGGGGGGGGGGGGGGGAGCAGTGGCGTGGAACCTTTTCGATTATTGAAGGCCGATACAATTGCACTGAGAAAAATGATATAGTTCGCGATTTTTAAGGATATCATGACATGTGTATGGAGATCAGTGTAAGGAACTTCTATCAGAGACACTGGTGTTAAGAGATATCTATTTACCTTTGATCATGAAATTGATATGAAGCTTTGGAGAAAGGATCATGGTTTTATTTAAGCAAAATTCAACGGTCATGCGTGTACTCCAAACATATCATTCCCCGCTCAAAGTTTTATTGTTACATAAGAAGATTTCATGTGCAAGCTCATGATCTGCCTGTAGGATTCACGACCGCTAGGGTGGCGCAGAGAATAGGGAATTTTTTAAGAAATCTTATCCGCAAGTATGAATATCAATTTGGAAGAATTCATGGAGGGATTTTATTAGAATTAGGGTTAGATTGAATGTTGGGAAATCTTTGAAAAGAATTGAACATAACTTCGAAAGGAAGGAGAGATTGACTTTGGGATGTTTTCAAGTATGAGAAATTACTTAGTTTCTATTTTTCTTGTGAGTTTGTCGGACATGCAATAGAATTCTGCTCTTAGAAACTAGAAAGAGGTGAAGACATCGAAGTGAAGGTCTACGAATCGTAGCTGAGAGCAGAAAATGGAAGAGCATGACTATGGGGGTGTAAGATGGCTTGTTTAGGATGAGGTGGCTCTAAAGGAAGGTAAGTTGAAGAACGAGAGGAGCGGGAGAAAGGAAGGGAAGAGGACTATGTGGTGGATAGGTACCTCTGCGTGACAGAAAGGGCGAAGGAATATGAATTGCGAAAGAGAAAGACGATGCAAGTACATTGGGAGGTGGTGGCAGTAGTGATGGGGCTAGTGATCACGACAGTGTGGCACATTGCCCTTTGCATTTATTTAGACTCTTTGCATTGCTCCTCGTTTTATCTACTAACTCACCCCAAACACAACCCCCCATGGATATTCATTGAATTCATTCAAATTTTCAACCAAATTCATATATATAGATGGTAATTCCCTTGCCACCTGGTTTCCAAACAGACCGTGTGAAAGCACATAGAGCAGAGCAAGTTTAACACCATCATTTCGTTCTATATTAGGGTCTTCACTATTATAGTTCATTAACGCACTTTAACAACCACTTGTTCTCACCCTAGATGTGATATCAAAATAATTTCTACACAACAATCCCTTAAATTCTCCTCCACAGGTGGTTTCACACCTCCAAATTTAAGCCCCAAAACCATGCACAAATCCATTTCGGTGAAACTAACCATACTATTTTGAATGTGAATTGAATGACATTTACCTCTTTCATGTAGTTCACCTTTTTGTGCAAAGAAATCCAAGTTGAAGATGCTCACTTATTGCTCGCATCTCTTCTACACCAACCACCCATCCAAATATAGTCTTCCTAATTTCAACTAATTATTTCTCTTTAAGTTGTTTCTTTATCCTTTTCACGTCCTCACTTAAACTACAATAGCAATTTATCCTCATGCTTTCAACATTTTCCTGCCATAACATAATCTCTTTTTGTAATTTCTTCCAACAACATAACCACTACACTTTTCAAACTATATGATTTCTACCTTATAAAACTTCTTCGTCCATATTTGTTTGCAATATCACCTATTTACACACTTCATATTCACCTATATTAACATGCAAAAAAATGATTGGTAAGACTAAATGTAATTCCATGTGCACAATTAATCAAGTGAAAGCATGGGGATAAATTGTTATTGTAGTTTAAGTGAGGTTGTGAAAAGGATAAACATAACAACTTGAAGAGGAACAAGTAGTTGGATTCAGGAAGACTATCAAGATGGGTGTTGGATGTAGAAGAGATGCGAACAATAAGTGCACAGCTTCCACTTAAATTTCTTCAGCTACGTGAAAAAGGTGAATGACATGAAAGAGGTAAATGTCATTC